CCCATCTCCGGCGGTCGTCCAATTCCATAAAACTCTCTCGGGGGAGGTGGAGCGGGTGCGTATGCAGGAACACCTGCAGTGAGCTCTTCGAGTGAGGGAAGTTGAGGTGGAAGACCTGGCAGATGGCCTGGGATTGCGCGTGAGGAAGATCCCTTTCTCGGCCGGGATAGAGAAGTGCTGGCGCGACGTGTTCTGGTGGTGGGGGGATCGATGGCAGCACTTGAGAGAGAAAATGGTACTACACCGGCGCGTCGAGCCATCTCTTGTTCCCCCAGCTGCCAGTGCATGGCCTCTGCTGCACGCCATGGGATAGCCATCTCCTCCGCTACTTTGGACCACATTTCGGCTTTGAATCTATTCAGATGAGTGAGATTAGTGGATTTGTTTCTTTTTTAAGGTGCTTTTCTCCCATTCCCCAAACCTACCTTTCATATAAACGGGCCAGTTTGTTCTTCTTATCTTCGTCCCATTCACTTCGGCGTTCCAGGTAGTTCTGATAATGAAGACGGCAACTGATGGCACTGCGGCCGGGGAGTCGTTTGCTGATATCCTCCCACTTCATCCCACTCCCACGCAGTTCGATGATCAAGGCATCCTCATCTGGCGACCACTTGGACTGTTTCTTTGCTGGAGATTCGGAGGTGTGCGAGGGCTGCAGGCGCTTGGCAGCACCCGATGGGCCGGTCTTGGTCAAGGGTGGCATGGCCATGGCAGCCGGGCCTGGCATAGTCATCATGGGGCCCAATCCCAGTGGCGGCCCTATGGTTCTGGGTGGGTACCCGGTGTTCAGAGCCGGGGCGGTTTCTTCCTCATCTTGGGGCTTGAGTAGCAGTGAGATATCCACTTTGGCTGGAGGCAATGTAGGCCGATTTTGTAACGCAATCATATGCGCGGATGAGCACCGGTGAATAGAATAAGAAAACAAAGCAGCCGGGAGATCCCCAACTGGAAGGGGAAGGGGCGAGGGAAAGAAAAGGAAAAAGGGAAAAGACGGAAGGTTCTCGTGATCCCAAGTCTTGTCCCAAATATGACGACAGAACGATCAAACGTCCCAAATCAATAGCAGAATTTCCAACCTCTTTTTTCTTTCGAATTGGAATATTTTGGGTGGAAATCTCCAGGATTATCAGATAATCAAAAGAATAGAAATGAGGGGGGAAAGGAAGTATATGAGAAGGTGTGTTAATGAAGAGAGAGAGAGAGTATGTGTGTGTCAATTGTCGAAGGGGAAAAAAGGGAGAAGAAAAAAAAAGGACGATATGAAGCATCCAACTCGAAAGGTGAAACGAATCCAGAAGTGACAGCTGATCTAAACCTATCTTGAAGAGGAGAAAAAAGAAGAGTCTTAGACCGTTGGGGGGGTGGACTATTAAGGGTAACGGCTGTTACAAGAGGGTAAAAAAAAATCCCCAATCCAAAAATTACCTCCATATCCACTGGGTTTTAATTAAAGATGCGGTCAGTTCCCCTGTTCTACTTTCTGTTTTTTTTTTTTGTTTTTTTGGAGGGTTTTATTTTTTTTTTTTTGGTTTAGTTGGAGGTTTAGTTGAGTGTTTAAGTGTAGAGTATAGAATGATATCTCAAGAGTTATAGTAATAGGAGTAATAGGACCCCATTCTCTCTCCCAGTTGGAACTAGTATACCCTACTACCTAGTATACCGAGTATACAAAGTAGAGACGGTAAATGTTTGATATGACCTGCAGAGTTTCATACTAACCCAGAAAAGGAAGAGGGGCAGTAGTACTTAGAGTACGGGCAGTACTTAGCACTTAGCATACTAAAGTATATACAGTATATACATATATACAGTATATAGAGTACATAGTAACTAAAGTATGTATATGCTCTTTAACTAAATCGACTAATTAATCCGAATTGGTATCTTTGGGGGGATTCAGATTCGGATTCGGATTCTAGAAATGATCCAATATGCAATATCCAATTTAATTAAAAATAATAATAATATAAAACAGAATAAAATAATCATAATATAATAATAATAAAATAAAAACAAATAAAATAACCCGGGGACCCGCATCACCCTTTGGTTAAATGAGAACGGTCTTCTCCGGTCCAGAGCCTAGCCCCAACTAAAAGTTCCAGATCCTTTTAACGGTTTGATATACGTACACATACCTAGGTACGTACTTAGGTACTTTGGAAGGTGTTCACGGGGATTTTCGACTCTATAGGAACCAGTCGGGGATTTTTCTCTTCTTCACTTCCAAGGTTCTTCTTTCCCCTTGCTCTTTGTGGGGCTTTTCCGGGTTCCTGACTCCCGGGTGTCCATGTGTTTCTTCATACAATATACATTATACATTATATTGTATACCATGTACTCCGTATATAGACATCTATGATTATATATATATATATATATATATATACACATATATATGTGAGTATATAAATACAAGAAAGGTGAATCTAACAGGTAACATATTTTCCTTTTTTTTTTCTTGCTTTCCTTTTCTATAACTATGTATAGGTGAGATTGAAGGGAATCATATTCTATACTCCATAAACCATGTAAATTTAAGATAATTCTCCTCAAGGCCCAGACTAAGGTCTCAGAACCCGTCTCTTGAACGACGGGGCACGCGTTCACGCATTTCCAAGATTTAAGGGACCGGTGGGTCATTTCAATTTCCATTAAATAGCCCTGTCAATTTCCTACCAATTTCCTACCAATTTCCTGTCAATTTCCACTTGGATAGCCAATTTCCCAGGCAGTCTAGGCACGTCATTCCCGTTGGACCCAGAAACCGGGCAGACGTCTAGACCGAACACGAGTTCCTTTCCCAGGTTTTGGATTGAATCCTTGAATCCTTGAATCCTTATATTATTTAAATTATATAATTATATAATTATATAATTATATAATGATAGAATGATATATTATTAAAGCTATATTATTAAAGCTATATTATATGACCTCCCCTTTCCTACGACGATCCTTTCTTTTCTTTTTCTTTTTTTCTTTTTTCTGAAACATCCATTCTGTCAATGCACCAAGGATCAGCAACCTATCCCTCTTCCTATTCCTACTTTCGGGTCTCCAAATCTCGTCTATCAACTTTCCCATCAGGCAATAAAAGAGGCAAAGTCGAACGTGTGGAAGTGGATCATGGACAACGTTCGCAAGACGATCGTTGCCTCCCTTGGCTTGGGGAGCCAGCACAGACACGCCCCGTTCGGCAGCGGCTTTATTGACCTTATGATCCGCTTGGAGCAACGGGGACAATCCGTAGACCAATAACCCGGGTTATGCCCGAACGGGGGGAGAAGACAAGGTAAGGATTGGGATCTATATACTCCGTACTCCGCACTTAGTTTATTTAAATATATATATATATATATATAAAACAAAACAAAAAAACAGTATGAGAGAATTCACAGGTCATGTCTCGAGACCTCGGACAAAAGGTAGTCAGACACGGGAAGAAGCCAAGTGTGATGATACGCGCAGAATGTCCTCAACGGTGCACCGGGAGAGAAGACCAGCTCAGCCAACCATGAAGAAATAACGGTGTGGAGTTGCAAGGAGGGGCAAACGTCGGATCATCATCACTAATGACTCAAGTGGTAGCGAAGAGCTAGTGGCGCTGCGCGGAGTGTTTCTCTTTTCTATTTATTATCGCGATCGCCCTAAATATCCGACACGCACCCGTTGGACCCGGTTTTTTTGGTGGGTTTTGATTCGAAGCTCATTATTTTGGTGTCATTTCGGTCCTTGTCATCCTTTGGATAATTTCAGGTATGGATATTAGGGGGGTTTCTCTGGGAGCTTATAGGTTTGTCTCTGACCCCATGTATGTACCTACCACTAGCCACATATGCACCATGAACGGAGAATTTTGGAGGGTTCCACTTAGATCATTGAGATCATCTACTTCAGCTGAAGTGGCGCTCAACCGTTTGGATTTGGGGGCAATGCGCTCAACGGTGGATCTTCGGTAGATGTGAGGAACCCTGCTGTCAATACCTTACCTTTTTTTGTGTATATATATATGTATAATATTTACTATGGATCATCGGAACAGGTCATACTTGTCCCGAGAGTGGATGTATCTCAAAATCCATACCCTTCCTAGATTCCATCTGTCCATAACACAAAGTACCAAGATAGAAATCTCGATATAGCAGGAAGGTATAGCTTTCGGCCGGATCTCTGGACATGTCACGACCAATCATTAACCTTTAGATTTCTATTTCATTTGGCTCCACATCTGAAACAGCTGCCTTGTGGGGGGTCAAGTCTCTTCTAGACACTGATAAACACTTTATAGACACTTTATAGGTGGAACCGGTTCATTATTTGCTCCTCCATATATACACTTATAAGAGTTAAGATTATCTGGGTAGACTGGTCTCGAACATTCTTAAATATAAACCGGGGGTAAACATTATAAAAAAAAAGGAAATTGGCCGATTCCAACTCATTGAGGGTCCCACTGGGCCCTGAAATTTGACGGAAATTGGAACTGAAATTGTTCCTTGACAACGTTGGAAGTTGGATCTCAGGGATGCCCAACTCACTACATTCATTTTCAACTGTTTTTTTTCTCTCTCTTTGAGTGAAAACAGCCTCTGGTTATTCTATTATTCTATTAATAGAGTTCTTAATAGAGAAATAGACACATTCCTTCCCTCAAAGGAGATTTCTTTGTTTAGACATGGCAAGCCGACTTCGACTCAAATGTAATATCGTGGGACTGGAAGCCCGTGAAAGAACAAAATAATCAAGATGAAGTATGAATGGATTTTGAGGGAGTGCCTCTGGTGTTGACTCGATAGATTTCTTGCCTTTCTTTGATCACTGTCTTCATATCGTTGATTCATTGGGTCGTATCATGAATTCTTTCAATTCCAAGTCGAGGCCCATCTTTTCTTTGGCGATGAAAACAATGAAAATCAGTTGCAAGGTAAGATAAATTAAACTGCGAATCCCTCAAGTGAGCAATAGTTGCACATCATCTATTCCCTTCATCTGCTATCATGGCCGAACCTAAACAAGCCGAGAAACTCCCAGAGAAATACCCACCGGTATTCGATGATGACTCAGACGAAAAGGAAGGAGAAGAAGCAGTCAAAAAGGTAGTTGAAAAGGCAGTGGGAGAGAAAGATGTAGACGACGAGGACGACGAAGAGTCAGAAGGAGAGATGGAAGTGGAAGATTTAACAGAGTTAAGAGTAAAGTCAGCAAAGGAGAAAAGGACACTGCGAGTAAGTGGTATAAACCTCAAGTCAACCTCATCATTCACCATCGACACACAGTCTAACAAAATGGATAGACTGTCATCCCCACGTATTGGCATCCCGACTTGCCCAATAAAACCACTGTGGGCTTTCCAAATGGCAAAGTGGACTGTTATCGAAATGTTGTCTTCCAGATGATTCTACATATGCCCATATTCTACAATTGGCTCATCTGGTACAAGGAGCACCATGCCCCTAGGGGTCATGTTTGCCTTCTGGGCACATCTGAAAACGGTCCCAGTGAATGCCAAGTTTGTCAAGTGGCTGAGATTGCTCAAGGGTTTTGGGCAGGTCAAGCTGAAACTGAAAGTTGGATGCCTACCTTTAAATCTCTCACAAACTCGCTCTTGCGTGGTTGGAAACCGGCTGGGGTAGACTCGGAACAAGACCCGGCAGAGTACTTTGACGTGCTTTATGGCGCCATCAAAAAGAGCACCAAGCCTATGATGTATGTTTTTTTTTCTCTTTCTTTCTCCCCGTATCCCCATATTCCCCAGATCCCCCCACAGAAGACTGACTTGAGACTCCAGGAAAGAAGACTTGGAAGATATGATCGAGGTCGAACTCATCATGGTGACGAGATGCGCTGGGAAAACCCCTTGTAACCCAAAATACATCTCAAGACGGCAACGGTTTATGATGATCAGCTTATCCGGAGAGGAGGGCGACACACTCCCCGAGAAGCCTACTTTGAGCGATGTAATCGAAAATCACTTTGACCATGAGGATAATTTCGGTGCGTGTGCGGACTGTGGAGGCAACAAGACAGCCAAAGAACAAATTGCAAATTTCCCCGAGCTTCTCTTGGTCCAGCTCAACCGCACCAGTGTGATGGGCAAGAAGATCGAGACAAATGTATATCTAACCAAGCAGTTAAATATCGAGACACGGTTCATGGATGAACGCTGGGGCAACCAACGAAAAGTCGTCCAGTATAAATTGACCTCGGTGGTCTTGCATCATGGCACGGATGTAACACGAGGTCATTACAGTATCGGTGTTAGAGGTAAAGGGGATAAATGGAGCGAGGCAAATGATCTACAAATCTTGAACTGGGACCCCGAAGGGCCTGGAGGCAACCCGATCCATCTCTCCACCGGTTATCTCTTTACATACCGCCGGTTACCCACGAATGACGAAGCACAGACACACCCAGAGGCACAGAAACTACAGAAAGAGGGAACCCCTGACTCCGATTCTGAACCACCTGAGAATCCTGAGAATCCTGAGAATCTTGAGAAACCTGTACTCAAGGGTCCTGTCCCCAAATCGGGCCCCAATGTCTTTGATCCCAAGGAATTAGCCAAGTTACTGGATGTCATGGTTCCCAAAGTTGTCGACAGCTATATAGCTCGCTCAGCAGATGCGAGGCGCAAGGAGTGGGAGAAATGGGCAAATGGATGGGAGAAGAAGAGGGAAGCAGCCCAGACAGCCCAAGCAGCAAAGACTTCGACTTCTGCTATTGGCTCTGCCATTGGTTCTGATATTGGTACCGGTTCCAATGAGGATATAGTCGACTGGACTAAGCAACGTGGACGACTTCAGATAACTTTGACTGCAGATGCAGGAAAAGGAGCAAGGGTGTTGGATCTTGAAGTTCAAGGATTGCACTACAATCGACTAAAGAGGAAGAAGGGAGAGAAGGCAGATGAAGGAGATGAAGGGGATGGAGGAGATGGGGGAGGTGGGGGAGGTGGGGGAGATAAGGAAGAAGTCAAGGAAAAAGAGTCGACATTTAATAAATTTAAGAAAAAGGTGCAAGGGAAAGCGAAGGATTATGGAGATGGGAAGGGGAAGAAGAAGAAGAAGTAGAAGAGAAGTTGAAGTTGAGATATCTCGGGACTTTCTTTTTTTTTTTTTTTTTTTTAGTTTCAATCTTCATCTTATTCAATGTCGTTCTCTTTACCTCTACTTTCCATCACATTAAATGGATTCAAATTCTCCTCAAATCTTCATTGATCGTTTGATCACAGAATTGGCACAAACTGGACATTCAAAACCCCTCAAACCACTGATGTTAACATTACACTGTCTATTCCCAAATGACTTCCTCCCTGCCCTTGATATTCTCGACCGCAAACTAGTTCGTCGCATTGTGCGCTCAGATCAATCTGCTACATCCCTAGAGAAACCCCAAGATATTTTCATTGTGATATCTGCCTCCGCGCCGCCTTCACTTCCCGGTTCATCAGTTTCCCAAGAAAAGGGCTACGAGGTTCGGCTGCGTGCCTGGAATTGCAGTTGTCCTACATTTACCCTGTCTGCGTACCGAGACTCTCAAATCCCGGCGAATCATTCGACAAACGAACTGAATCAGTTGGCCTATTCATTTGGCGGAACGCTAGCCTGTGGTACGGCTCGGGTGTCGCCTCCTACCTGCAAACATATCCTAGCCTGTATTCTATATACACGGTGTCCTGAGCTGTTCGGGGTTGACGGGGATGGCAAATTCACCGTTTCCAAAGAGGAAATGGCAGGCTGGTGTGCTGGTTGGGGTGGTTGATTTGCTTGGCTCTTGACACGTCAAACACAAATTGATGTACGAATATTATGCACTTGGAGCAAAGAGTCCTTGGCCCCGTGGTAGCTGCTGAAGCGACCATATGGGAACCATCCCAGATATCCGCAGATGACAACAGGTCCTCCAGACCCTTGTCCATTCCACATGAATCATCTGCCTGTGTCCGGGCAATCACTCCTTGAACACAGAAATCGGCTGGCCACGAATGGGGATTTGTCCCAGTGCCCTTAAGATTGCAGGATGACTGCATGGTAGATACGCCAAGGGGCAGTATTGTTACTCTAGATGTACTTGAAATATACACCTTACAGAGAAATTAAGGTCTTGGTTCGCTGTGCGAAATGGACAGACTTGGTCTGCTAATACAAAATGGGGAAAGAAAAAAACAGGTTGAAATGTCATATGCTTCACTTATTGGATTGACAATTCTTTCCGGAAGAGAATAAATTAAGAGACCCTTAGTTCTTCTTCTTGTTCTTGTCGGAGCTATCCTGCTCCTCCTTCTGGTCGCCATTTGGTGAACTGGCCTTCTTGACATCCTTGTCTCCCTTAGTTCCATTGGCCTCCTGGTCCCGCTTGGTGTCACTCTCCTCTTGCTGCTGTCGGTTCTGGATCTTGTTATCGATTAAGTCGTGGAAAGCCGTGATAGCACGGATCAAGCTGCTGATGTAGATAGCCATCAATTGGTCATTAGTCTTGACACTCATGGCCCGTGCCAACTCGCTGTTCTCGATCTGTGGCTCCTGGCCGTTGGTCCGCTGTGTCGCCGGTGGGGTTGACAGATTGGGAAGGAGGTTGAAGACATCCTGGAGGTTGCCTAGAATGGCGTGGTTGACGGGAAGTTCCTTGTCGAGAACTTTCTGGAGGTATTGGCCAATATCGCGTAGCCGCAGATGCAATCCTTGCAGTGACTGCAGCTGCGACGTGATACGGGTGGAAAGTGTGCCGACTGCGACGTCCCTGATGTCTCGGAGAAGGTGCTCCACACCAATCTCCTCTGCTTCTTCTGCCTCGATTATCGATGGGGTGTGCACAAATGTTCGGGAGGTTGTTGTGCCATCCTACAAGTGAAACAAAAATGGCCCTGGTTAGCTCTGGTGGCCTGGTGGGTGCGTCCCTCGGATTCAATGTAAACTCACATCCTTGATTTCGTCCACGGCGAAGTAAGCATCTGTAGGCACACCGACTTCCTTGGGTTGTACGTCGACAATAACCAGCAAGGGGTTGGGCGTGTATTTCTTGAAGAGCTCATTGATCTCCAAATCCGAAGCGCGCAGCTTAGGACCCGAGTGGTACCAGCCGACTAGCTTCTCGCGAGCATTGATTTTCTTGAACATATCCCTCATCGACTCAACGAAGTTGTGATCCAAGAACCATACTGATGGGTCTTTTTCATCCTCCTCGAACGGGACTAGAGAGATAAGAAACACAGATGTCAGCTTGTCTGTTGTATGGGTTTGATTCACCGAAGCTTGCACTTACCAGCAAAACTGTTTGATACCCGGACATTATCGCCCGAGTTCTCACCCAGCAGCACACCTACCACACGTTTCCGGGTACCCTTTGCCGTTCTCCCATAGTGATCTGCGACGGAAAGGAGGACTAACGGGGCAACCGTCACGGAGCGGTTGACGAGGGATAGCGTGTCCGCCGTGGTGGCAGGCATCGTGAAAGGGAGAAAAGGTGAAAAGAGGTCGAGAGCTATAAGGAAAGATTCAAGCTCGTAGATCAAATAAAAATCCAATGAAACAGCAAATCAACGCGAGACAGGAGAATGCGGTGGATGGAGAGCGATGATGCACCGGTGCTCTTGAGAGCTCTCCGCCACAGAACTGCGCCATCTTGAGGCTGGAGAACTTAGTAAGCATCCAGGCTTGTCCCGGTGAAGAGGAAGCTTGAAAGAATACATATGTATGTTATGTGTTATCTTGTATATTGATGGATTCAATCTTATTATACAAAAGAATATAGAATATATAAAATATATTAAAAAAAAAAACATGTATAGATTTTAAACATTTAATTAATATCAGGATATATAACTTGTATACATCGTCCTCTACATTGTGTGTACTATAGTAATTCAAATCCATTCCCTTGTGAAGCCCGTGCTTTCCGAACCTCGGGCGCTAAGTTCCTTGCGATTCTTCCCTTTCTCCATTTTCTCCGTTTCCCCGTCTACAGTCTTTCCCTTCTTCAACACTCTCCCCTCTTACAATTCACAATGGCTCCCATCACTGAAGAGGCCGTCTCCGGTCTGAAGAACACCATCCAGCAGCTGGAGGCAAAGGTGTCCGAGCTTGAGAGCCGTCTCGCCAATGGCGGCAAGCCCAAGTCCGCTGCCGAGCAGATGCGCATCATCCTGATGGGCCCTCCTGGTGCAGGTATGCAATTGAAACATAACTGGAGTGGGAAAACAAAAAGGCAATGGATATTAACAGTTTCAATTAGGCAAGGGTACTCAGGCCCCGAACCTTAAGGAAAAGTACTGCGCGTGCCACCTGGTAAGTAGAAAGTTTGCCTGAGTACAACATAAGCTCCCCCCGCTGATATATTTCCTGAATAGGCCACCGGAGACATGCTGCGGTCCCAGGTCGCAAAGAAGACCGACCTTGGAAAGGAAGCCAAGAAGATCATGGACCAGGGTGGTCTCGTTAGCGACGAGATCATGGTCAACATGATCAAGAGCGAGCTGGACAACAACCCAGAGTGCAAGAACGGGTGCGTATCTCTACATTCCATTCCCAAATTTGTTTTCTTCCGAAACCTGGCCAGAATTAACATGAGAGGTGGACAGTTTCATTCTGGATGGTTTCCCCCGGACGGTTGCGCAGGCCGAGCGTCTCGATGACATGCTCACTGCCCGTGATCAGAAGCTCCAGCACGCCGTTGAGCTGCAGATCGACGACTCCCTGTTGGTGGCTCGTATCACCGGCCGCCTGGTCCACCCTGCCTCTGGCCGCTCGTACCACAAGATCTTCAACCCGCCCAAGGCTGACATGAAGGACGACATCTCCGGAGAGCCGCTGATCCAGCGTTCCGATGACAATGCCGATACCCTCACCAAGCGTCTGGCTACTTACCACGCCCAGACCACCCCCGTTGTCGACTACTACAAGAAGACCGGTATCTGGCGTGGCATTGATGCCAGCCAGGAGCCTGGCCAGGTCTGGAAGAGCATTCTTGGAGTCTTCCGCCAGTAAACAATTCTGTTGGATTAGTTGTGTTTTAAAAAGGGGAATTTGGGGGGTAATTTGGGACAATTTACCAGTCCAGGCTCCGTGATGTCTACCTTTCTTTTTTCCCTTATGTTTTTTTCTTAATTGGGCACACCGGAAGCATGGCTGGTGTTTTCGTCCACATATAGACGTGGGTTTCTCCCCTTGACCGCCATGTATAGTATGTGTGTACGTTGGAGTACCGAATACACTCAAGACCGGTATGCATTCAATTGAATCTTTTGGTAAATCTTGTAGTCTTTCTTTCCATTCGGAGTTCAATGCGACACACATGGGTAGATGTGGTGTAGGAATTCACCTAATACTAGTATTATTTAAACTTGCCCTGTAAACCCATACCTAAAGTTGTAGAGGATACTCGGTTGACTCAATCTTCTGAGGATAGGTCAAACCACCCTGCTTTCGCACTTCATCCATGACCTCCATAATCACGATACTCTCTTCCAATGGCAGGCCCTCACTCTCGAGTTTGCCATCGCGGAGACAACGAGCAACCTCATCAGCCTCCCAGTACATACCCTTACCATTACCAGGGAACGGGCATTGGACCTCGCGGATCTCACCGCCACCCTTCTTGGGAATGATGCGGTAGCTCTCTGGTCGGAAAGGCTGGCCGTACACCTGGATCTCGCCTTTAGTGCCCTGAATACGGATGGGAGGACCAGCCGAGCCCTTCTCATCCGGATCAGCAGAGACACGAATGTTGGTCAGCGCGACACCGTGCGATTGTTGCGGGTGAGGACCATTCGAGGGAGTGCTTGTAGGGAAGCTCAGAAGCATGGTTGTAGACTCATCTGCGCCGGTGAGGTGATAAGGAGTCATCTGCGAAGTGACAGTAGGTGGCTTCCTCTGGTCTCGGGGCAGGGTGTGGTACAGAGTCTGGAAGACCCAGGTCAGGGAGTAGATACCCACTAGAAGAGCAAATTAGTCAGGGTTTCCATTTAACAACAATCCCGGAGACCTTACAATCCAAGAGAGCACCACCGGCCAAATTAGGGTTTACCATGCGGTGTGTGGTACCCCATTTCGTCTCAACATCATCGCCAAAGCTTGTATCAGCCACGACACGGAGGACCTCGCCAATCTCACCCTTCTGGATGAGCTCACGGATCTGAATGCTAAGAGGGAAATAGCGAGTCCAGACAGCTTCCATAAGGAAGAGATTCTTCTTGCGGGCAATCTCGATGAGGATCTTAGTCTGGGCAGCGTTGACGGTGAAGGCTTTCTCACAGAGAACATTCTTGCCCGCCTCCAGTGCGAGTCTGACGTTCTGGTAGTGGTGGGAGTGCGGGGTCGCTACGTAGATGACATCGACGTTGGGGTCGGCCACAAGAGTCTCGTAGTCACCATATGCGGAGCAGGGGGTTGTGATTCCCCGAGCCGATATGAATTGCTCGGCCTTTTCCTTGGACGAGGATGAGGCGACGGCGACCACTTGGTGGGCTACGTCAGAGGCATCGCGGACATTAGGGTCGATGAGAAGATCATTTGTGAATGCTGTTGGGGGGATAGGTTATTTCATCAGTTCTTATCTTATACAAGATATTGTAGAAGTAAGTAAGATCTTACTCTCAGCGATCCAGCCAGTGGCTATCAATCAGTTAGCTTTTTTTCTGTTTTTCTCTTTTTACCAGGATGTCATACCCATAATACCCCATCGAACAATGTGTGGCGCCATGACGGGAGTAAACTTGAGTAGAGTCGATTCAAAGGGGGCAATAGACGACGTTTGGAGAACAGATT